AAAAAAAAAAAAAAAAAAATACAACATAATTCCCAAAATGTCACAGTATTTCTTTTGAAACAACATTTGGATTTGTAACAGCAAGCAAATAAATATATTTACAAAGTGCAGCACCACAGACAGTGTCATCATCAGTGGGAGAAGTTATAATTAAGTGAAACTAAATCCAACAGATGAGATAATCGTGTGTGCCAATTGAGGTTAGAGAGAGACACCGAAACTATTACTTGCATGAGCGAATCATCTCTTCGAGTCACACAGAATATTCTGTAGGTTTTCCCAGATACTTTTTGTTTTAATTTTTTAAAATTTACCACATACTAACTCTTTGTATATGGCATGTTTAATATGATAAAATACAATCTATCCTAAAAAATAAACATTCATAAGAGTAATTTCCATATTCTAATGTAATCTTTTCCATGATCAACACAAAGTATTTCATCCAGTGTCAAAACATGTGATCTTTTTTGGTAACCAAAATCCTGAAACGCCAAATAAACCGTGAACGTGATTAACTATTTTACCCCACTAAACAATGAGTGTGAGGTCCAATTGCTGAAAATAGATACCCCTTGAATAGAATACATATCTAAAAAGAGTTTGTAATTTGCATCTCATAGTTTCTGCTGATTCAAAAAGGGGAGCAAATACAAGTATTGCCAAGTATCTACGTACTAATTAAAAAAAGCTGTATAAAAATGCAGAGCATCAACTACTACCTGCATGCTGTAGAAGCACTACTCTATAGGTAATACAAAATGTACAAAACAAATGTGCTGCAAAACAAAAGAATGTTTCTGAAACACACATAAATAAAAAGTACAGATAACATCTGACAAGGCAGATGGACCTTAACTGAAATGTGATATGAACCCAATCAGCCCCCATGACCTGAACCCATAAATGTCTACTAAACCCTCACACACCCCAGCTTCCTCATTATTGAAACAAAAAAAAAAAAGGTACACATTCTGTTTCTAAGGCCTTTTGTACACTAGCTAATGAAAAAACAACTCTTACTGTACGTTTCCCTTTACTTTTTCTCTGGACCTCTTAATCAATATTTGAGCCAGGGGTGAGCAGCGATGGAAGCTTTGCTGCGGTCTCCATAGTCATAAAGCAGCTCCTCGCCTTTGTCAATATTTCGAGAGGCGATGAGAATAAGGTGAGGAACACCGTTGATGTCGTGGAGTTTGGTTTGGCAGTTCCCATTTTTACTGTGATTTATCAACCTACCCATTCGACCAGTCTCTTTTGTAGCATCCACACTGTTGGCAGAAACACATACAATTACATTGGTGTTCGTATTAGAGGTTGTTTAATATACATACACAATATGTTCACAAGACAGCATTTACATTTTCATATTAAATACTGAATTGTTTTCAGTGACCATATTAGCTGCTATGTTAATGTTTCCTTTTCATTAAAAGAATAAAACAAAAAAAATCGAAATTAATCATTTGTCCTATCAAACTGGTGGCTTTGGTAAACTGGTTTCATAACTTAATATAACACAAATTCCAAAATGTCCAATGAGTGTTCATAGAATCCCAGATAAGTCTTTTCCTCCTACCAGTATGTTTTGCAGAGGTACTGGAAGTAGTACATGTAACAGCCGGTTGCTGGATTTTGAGCATATTCGGCTTCTCTCTTTTTAGCATCGGTGATCTGTAGCAAGTCTCCGTGGTATTCCACCACATAATCGCCTTTCTGGAAACACCGAGTGGCAAACACCGCTCTCCCCTTTCCTTCTATGTATTGCACCTACAAAAACAGTACAAGAGGCTTTCTGTGGTGACACAGCTTGGCAAAGTAAAGGTTCTTCAGTAAACATATGAACAATGTACAATTTGAATTAGGTCACTCTGAGCCTTTTTGCGGGCTTCATATTCAAATTAATCCTTAAAATAAGACATTTTTGTACAAGAACATGACTGAGTAAAATTTAAGGATTTTTTAAAGGTCTACAGTAAATCCTCATTTACAATGACAATAAGATTTTTCCTTCAGATGTAGAAAGAAGAAACAAAGAAAATTCAACGTACCTCCATTCCCTCCTCTATTCCACTTGTAATGAGATCATCTATGAGCTTCTTTTCTTCGCACTGGTAACAAAACGGAACATGAAACAGGCCAGACCAGATTTGTCTTCATACACAGAGTCATGCAGCGGGGGTAATAGTTATTTAATCCCCAGATCTCTCGCAGTGCTTGTGAACAAGGGTTTCTCTATCAAGTGCCATATTGTTTGGGGATCAAATACTTTCATTCCATGACAAATCAATGGAAATCAATTTTATTTTTTATGTTTTTGGTTAATATTAAGTCTCTCTCCATTAAAACAAAACCACCATAAAAATTAGAGACTGTTCATTTTGTAGGTGAGCAAATGTATAATTTAAGCAGGGTTCAGATAACTATTACCCCCACGGTACATCCACATTATTAATAAAAAGTATATTTCCCTCAAACACAGTCAGAGCACCACACAAGTGCAAACATAAAGACAATGTTTTTGGCAATACTAAACATGCTATGAGAGTATATGTTAGGACAAAGCTTTTGTCATGAGCATTCTTAAAGATACAGCTAAGGTCAAAACTCCACCTTTGAACTTTATCTACTCTTAGAAAATCTGCACTTGTGGAAACTGTCCACCAGAATTTTCCATTCGAGAAAATTTTTACTTAGCAGTGACACTTTCATCAGTCTGAGAACCAATCAGTTAAGGTCTTCTGACTCCAACTTCCTGTTCTGTTTGACAGTTATTGTTCACAAATTTTGATCAACCGAAAAAACAAGAACTAACAAACACACACAAAAAGGCTATGTCATCATAATGTATCCAGCCATAGCCTACAAATACAGGTACACTATAAACTAAAAGCAGATTCTAGTATGTTGCATCTTACCTACAGGTACTAAACACTCATATTCAGATATGGTTTTGTAGAGAATATCTTCTAATGGTGATTTGTATACATTTAAAAACATTTTTTATATCAGCTATTTTCAGCCCTTACTCTGATATTCAGTGACACCACAAACAATTCAGACCTGCTCTTGTGTCAAAGTGTGGAGTGGGGGTGGGGGTTGCACATAATTGTCACAAAGACAAAACAGGTTTTGGCTGAGGGCAAACACTTTAATAAGACCCATACTTTTCCCACTTCTCCAAAGAAAACCACTTAAATATCGAATAATATGCCTATGCCTAACTACCTATAACATATGTTGTAGTACATTATGAAATAGACTTTTTTCTTACCTTGAGCTCCATTTTACTTTTTCTTGAACTTCGTCTTACTGGATAGAAATCAGTAACTTTCCGGTTTTGGGAATTTTCCCCTCCTGCCCTATAGTAAATAAACACATTGCAACATTAACAACTATTATACCCATTCAGCCTAATGATAGGCTATTACAGCACTGCACCATTTATTACCAAGAGGCATTTGAACTCCTTCATGGATAGGTGCCATATTCATTCAGGCCAAAAAGGGAAAAAAGTTTTCTTTGGATTTAGAGGACCAAGGATCAAACTACTGACCTTCCAACTGAAAAGCCTTCCCCTAACCACATTTAGACACTCGGTGGTGATAGTTTAACTTATTATTATATAATATAATATTATAGTATAATATGATACTATTAAACACTAGTCTATTAATCAAGATTAGCCAGAAGAAAGTCTGTTTAATCAAATTAAGCCCATCTAGCCAAACAGAAATTTGTCTGTCAGTGAAAAACTACAGTCAACATCAGCAAGACATTCAATTTATTAATGGATCACTTGGCTTTTGAGATCAAATCTGACCTTGAGCCAACATTCTTCTAACTAAGGTTAGCCAAGTCCTTGTAGGCTCTTCAACGGTAATGTCTAGGATTTTCTGTAGCAAAATTTCCCTTGAGTGGATAAGACTGGCTCGTTCATCCAAGCTACCAGGGATGATTTAGTAATTTAACTGTCAATTTTTACATTTCTTCATCAACCAACATTACCAGACTAAAACTTACCACATATATTCTAAGTAACTAAGTCACAGCTAGTTGGCTTACCACTAGTCAAGAAAGCACTGGAAGATTTAGACCAAATATTTTAAAAGTCTACATTATGTACAAGTTAGTCACCGAAAACACATATAACACATTATGCAAAAGAGTTCAGACTATAACTATATTCCTTATATAGTGTCCATGTGGTTATCTAGTGTGTAGCTCTTGTGAGTTAACGTGTTTACAAGAAAATGTAGTAATTAAGATATAAATTCACTTACAAAGGTGCTCCAAAATCTAATCAGACCACCTAATCCATACATGGTATCTGGGGTATGAACATGACATTTATACTATGCATGGTTCCTGTATACAAAAGGCAGCATGAGAGCACACTCTTCTGCATGTACCATCAGGAAAAGTTGTAAAAATGCATCAGTAATCAACACATACATTCTTCGAGTGGATTTCTTTCCTATGACCTTGACCCGGGCTCCCCTCCTCTGGAGGCCATGGAGAGCGCCGCCATTATTGGCATGTAGGGGAGTATGAGTTAAGCCATTGCTGAGGGGAAGGGAGAGTTCAGGATGAGAACAAAGGTAGGCTTCGGTGCAGTGGAGCTGCAGAGGTGATGGCTGTTCATCAGACCAGCAGGGTGAACACTGGCTGTAGCTGTTCTCCATCTCTGTGAAATCTGCCTTTGGGTCTTTCGTTGGAGTGCTGATGGTATTCATTGTCTGTCCTGAGAGTGAATGGAGAAACATCATCCTTAAGATTCAGACAAATCTTGTGCTTCTAATTTCTGTCACTGGAAATTCTTACATGATATATATAATAACAGGGATTCATTTACTGTCCCATGGACTGTTAAACCAGCTCTCCTCTGCTGACAATCAAACTGAAGAACTGGAGTAAACATACTCACCTTCTCCTGGCTTCTGGGCATCATTCTGCAAGGACAAAACTGGAGAGCACTTTCTGTCCTGTGTCAACCTGATGGTGGGCTTTTCATCTTGAACTGATGATATGGAATTGGTGCAGCTCAAGAGGGCGAATGAATGGCTGTTGCATACAGTGTCCTGTGAAAGGAGAGAAAGCTTGATCACTCTCTAGAATGATCCATCACAAAACATGGAGAGGAATATTTGGGATAGTCCATTTATAGCAACGAGACAAGGTGAGGCACATCTGAGGTAAAAGCTGCGCGACAGCCTCTGGTGGCGATTTAGTACCTAAAATGGGAGCTACTTCAACATCCCCCAACAAAGCACAATACTTCTTCCTACTAAAGGTGGAAACAACAAGCTCAATTTACAATTTGAAAAAAAAGGACACCAAAAAGTAAGTAGGAGGAGATACTAGCAGCTGGTGATGTGCAACCCTATCTGCTTGACGTGCACTATTATTGCTCTATAACTGAGGATTCATGCTTCAGCAGGAAATCCATGTTGTAACTACAAACCCTTGGAAACCCAACACCGTAGTCTCTGCTAGAACCTGATGTGCAACTCCCTGGAAATATAACGGCACATCTCGTACAACCAAGCACTACTATTGCGATTGCCTGTTCAGTACCACTGATTCCTCCTATGCATGTCCACCTACTTTTTTGCCACATTTTTGGAATTTATCAGTGAGACAATAACAATCATTGTCTCAATATATGATATGATGAGCTGTGTGCAAGCTGCAAGCACCAGTAAAATGTTAAGTATTTTTTTCTCTGTTGTCAGAAATATTGTGGTATAATTGTGAGTCTATGCCCACCTGTAACTGAATGTGAGGCTTATATTATTGGAAATAAACAAATATTAGAAACAAATAAAATGAGTTTAATGGCGCACAAAAACAAAAGCGGATCACCAATCCAAACCAAAATGCAAAAGGATTAAGTTGAATGAGTCACTCAAGATATGGCTCAGCTAATTTGTTGATAAGATGTAGCTTGTTTTCTTCTGTATGAATGAAGCTGAAATGATGCAATCAACAGGAAGGGATAAGATCAACAGCCACTTTTACTTTGTCACGGTGAAAACAGTCAGATTGGGACGTGTTTTGTGGTAATTCTATTAAACTACTTCACTTGAAAATCTAGAGCTTGATTTGCATATTAAATGTAAATGCAATGTCTAAACACTAGAATACACACAAGAAAGACAATATTATAATCATTATAATAAAATATCGAGATGGGTGCCAAATAATAGAAAAAAAAAAATAAAGTGTATCATTAAGATTTTTACCAACCAGGCTAGAAATGTTTCTCTACCATTTTGAGACTCACTACTGGATGGACCAAACACCAGTTTTCAAAAAGAAATGTATTCATTTATTATTTAGAGAGAACTCTCATAGGTCTGACCCAAATCACAAACAGGTATTCGATTGACTTGGGATCTGAAGACTGTGAAACCCAAAAGATATGACCCACATGACTTTCATCCTAAATAAACCCTTCAGTGAACCTTGTACCCTCAGGACAGAAGCATTGCCATCCTGGAAATTAGCATTCGTATCAGGGCAGAATGTTTCAACATAGGACGAAGGTGATCACTCACAGTAACTTTGTGCTCATTTAGAGCAGGGGTCTCAAACTTAAATGAGCTGTGGGCCACTGCTGGTACTGTCATCTCATTGGAGGGCCACATTAGTGTTCAGAGTAGTACAAAAACAAACAAACAAGAAAACACCCACAAATATTTCCGAAAATTTAGTGTTTTGTTAGTTTTTTTAAATTTCCAATATTGTATAACAAGATAAAACCGCAGATGTGAACGCATTTTTCCCTTACTCTTAACTAACTGAAGCCTTTCATTGAACTACCAAATAAACAAATTGGTGCTCTCTTTCTGGTGAGACACTTGAGTGATCGTATCCTTTGTCGAGAAGAAGTGTAGCTAAACAAATCCATCATAAATGGCCCCAAAGCATGACACACGCAGCGGATCGCCTCGTTGTAGAGGTAGGAGGATCACTTTTTCCTTTAATTTGTCACACACTTTATCTCATCTACTTTATTTTACATATGCATGTAATTATCTTTCTATATTCATTGATTCCTTAATAGCTCTCCTCAATCTTATCATTTCCTTCAGTACAAAACAGTCGCTACTTTCCACCAGTGTTGTGGGTGGGGCCTGGAAAAGGGCACCACGCTGGATCCACACCCACCTACACTCCCCAGTCAGCCCCTTTAAATCCAGAGTGAAGGCACAGATAGGCCTCCCGACTCATTATCTCCCGATCAGATCCATTCAAACCAAACCACGGAACTGATTTTAATCTATAAACCCCGCTCAAAAATAGAAATACAATATCACGTATTTCGATCTCTTCTAACATCCGAAAATGCTGTTGTGTCCTCGGCTGCCAGACACATGCATGTAGCTTTCAGTAGCCAAAACAAGCACTCCCCAACAAAACGGCACCTCTGTAGCGAGTTTAACGACACTAACTTACAGAAAAAAATACTACCCAACTGGGCTACAAGTATTAATTAAATACATTTCCACCGGCAAGCACCTTAGTCTCAAGAGTTATCCCACTTTAGCTAGCTCTCCCTATTTAACCACAGTTTGGCTCGACGGTGATGACCGAACAAGCAAACTTACCCCGTTCATGTCCGACTTGTTTTCGTTGCTCCTCGCTCGGCACTCTCCTCTCGATTAGAGAAAAACACAAACAGAAAATCCAGTAAAAGGCTAACCTCGCCCTGCTCCTACAAGGGAAAGATGTCCCTTCACGTCGGCCGCTTCCACGGTGACTGCGTGCCCTTCTGTTGCATTTAAACCTACAGCAGCTCAGCCAATACAGCCTCCACAGCTCCGCTCCGCCATCTTCCTGTCTGCTTGTAAATGAAGGAGAGGTGTGGAGGAACTCCGGCGCCCCCTGCGGGTCCACAGCGACAGTACAATTATTGTGTGTTTTGTCTTTCCGTTTTCTCTGGTTTTATTAGCCAAAATTTCGATACCTTTAGTGTCTGCCGCGCAAAACAAACCAACACTTCCAGGCTTCCGTGTTGTCTTGTTTTTTTTTTTTTTAATTAACTGGTATTTTAACACAGTAAGCCTGTGTAGGTACTGTATTATCAACACTCAGAGGGCACCAGTGCAGACTGTAAGTTTGTAAATGGATTTGTGTTTCAATAGTGGCCTTCTACTCAGTTGAACACTCAAAGCACTTTTTACTGTAGGGTCATTTATCTATGCCTAATTGCTTTCTAACATTCACACATACACACACTCTGATGGTTGAGGACCTTGCCCAAGTATGGCTCAGTCTGGGGACTGGAGGCCTCTGCCCTTTTAATTGGTAGGCTACCACTCTACCATTTGAGCAACAGTCTTCCATAAACAAAGCTAAAGCTATATTAAAGAGGACCTCTTAGTTAATTAATTAATAAGTTTTTGGTCATATATTATGTCTGTTATTATTAATCTGTGGTTACCTTAAAATTTAGAAAACTTAAATATCCAGTTTATACCAGATAATGAACTGAGGTGTATCACAAAGGCCCAGTATAAGAAAAATACAGATTATTTGTAACTGTAAATCAAAGCAACTCTAGTAGAGTCTAAGAGTAAAGCTATAGAGTTAGAAATAGGCAAGATTTAATTTCTGCTTCAAAATCTTTCATGTACAGCTTAGTACAAAGTACCAAAAGTAAATGTCAGTCATCACGTGCACATATATCAATTAATAAGAACATAATAATAATAATAAAATGTACATTCACTGTACATTTTAATATCATTTATTTCTTTATTGAGTATCTGTAGCTGTGTTTACTAAAATCAGTTTAGGTCTACTTGCTAAACATTAAAAAATCACAGGACAAGGGGCAACAGATTGAAATTAAAACTATGTGCTCTTTCTTAGCTTAGCAGAAATCTCACTTAACTGTCACATTTTTGAAATACTCACACTTACAATCGCCTCTGTGCAAAGGATTTTACAATACAATTCAGTACAATACATAAAGCCACTGTTTTTTCATAACTGAATAACACTACATGGCTTCTGTGTTGATATCTGTCATAAGGTATGTGGATACCAGTAGAGTGAAAAATCCCCAAAATATTGCCAAAGCTGTAACATATCATAATGATTGCATAGACACCAAATCTGACTCTTTATACGGATATAATGAAGATCAAAACAGTAGTTTTATAAACAACAGCACTAAGAGAGTGCAGGGCCCCCTGATGGACAAGGGCTATACTAAAGCTTTGATGTTTTATGTTGTTTGTATTACTGCTGACGCCAGCCTGCTTTTGCTACAATATGATTACATCAGACTGTTATGGCGTCATTGTGATGTTGTAAGCTGTCACACTGAAAAAAATAAAAACTGTGTTGTACAGCTCTCTTCATGACCATTCATAAAATATATTACTCAAATTTGTTTCTTCAGACAAACAGACAGCTGTACTGTACTCTCTCCCAGAACCATCTTGCTTTGAGGTTACAGTATCAACCATTGCAGCACCATGCTGTAATGACTCAAAGAGTTGAATCTGGTTCATAATTTATGATAGGAAAGGGAATCTGTTGTTTACTCACTCTATATGTTTACATTAACTAAAGAAACCAGAAAATTTAGTCTTATATAGAGAAAACATGAGTGTATTGCATGCTTCTTCAAGCTCGGGTCCTCTGCCAGAGGCCTGGGAGTTTGAAGGTATTGCACAGCATCTTAGGTGTTCCTAGGACTTCACTCTTCTGAGCAGAGGCCTCTGATGTTGTGCCTGGAATCTACTGGAGCCACTCTTGAAGATTTGGGTTTATATTGTTTCCTCTGTATCAGTGTAGGATCTTTACCTTACAATAAAAAGCACCTCGAGGTAACTGTTTTTGTGATTTGGCGCTTTATAAATACATTTGAACTAAATTGAACATTTTCTCATGCTCCTGTTACCACTGGGGAGACTTTGGACTTAATCTTTCACATCTGCTCCACTTGTTTCTTCAGTCCCCGGTTCCTCTTTTCTTCTATTTTCTTGTGCTCCTACATTTTATGTTTGTCTGTGAAGGTTCTCAGTCATCCAGGTCATCGTAGTCAAAGGAGCTTGCAAAGAAAAGCGTCTGGACTTCTTTAAGTTACTTGAAGACATTTCACCTCTCATCCGAGAAGCTTCTTCAGTTCAGAACAACGGCAGGGATAGGGCATCACCTTGTTATATTCTGCACTTGCACACAACTTGTGCAACTGCCCTGAAGTTGCCCTTAACCCTTTCATGCATGAAGTATGACAACCTCAATCAGGATTTTTTTCTTAAGAATTTGTATTAATCTTTAGGCATGAAGAGATGAATAAAATACTTTAAAAACAAAATCCTGATTGAGGTTGTCATACTTCATGCATGACAAGGTTAAATAACAATAATTACAATGAAACACGTCATACATCTATAGTAACATTAAACGACCAGTGGGTGGCAGGGTATGGAGTGACACTGTTCATCTGTTCCAGTTAATATTTCATTTAGTCCTAAATCCATATTTCCTGTTTTATGCTTCCATCTGTTATTCTCATGTAATATGTACTCTCACTGATTTTGGATTGATGTCTTTTTCTTTCTTTCTTTTTTTATGGCACATTCATTCTATTCTATTTTGTTATTAAATGAAAACATTGTGGTTACTAAGATTATTAGAGCCTACAGAAATGACTATTTGATTTTGGATTATGAAATGACTGTGAACTGTTGATTTTTATAGGTGAAAGAATGACGAATAACCATCAACGATTCATTATATAACTATTCTGTGTTTATGTGTTCAACTGTCATAAATCAACTTTGCCAACAAAAACACTTCTTTAGTGTTTTGGACAGCGAATGTGAGCATTATTTCTTCTTACTTGAACAAGAAGTCTGTAAAAACCCTATGTCCCAAAAATGCATTTACCTTTATTTAATTTTGTATTTGTATTTGTTTATTACTTATATTGATTAACTTCATGCAGTTGTAAAATATACACCCCTCTGTTACCATCTATTCACTCCCACTTATTTGATTCAGGGTCGAGGGGTGCTGGATGGTATTCATAACAGTCAGATCCTTTTGAAATATCCCGTCGTTCCAAATTTTACCCACTGGGTTCACATCTTATTTCATAGTAAAATAAAAAAATAGAACGATGAAAAAACTATGAATTTTTTTTTTTTTTTTTAAAAAACGAACGATATCGATACTTTGCCTCTGTATTTGAGGCATGCGCATATTTCTGTTTAATAAAACAGAACTACGAAGAGGTGTGAAAGGAACAAGAAGACGAAGAAGAAACAATTTTCATCGTCACTTCCTATCCAGACCTGGTCGGGTCACGTGATGTGGTATTAGCTCGATGACTCTGCTATGTTTATCGTTTGCGGAAACGTTGAAGAAATGTTGATTTTCACGCTTTTATCAGTTTACTGTCATCGGGGGATGCCGCGCGGCTGCTCAGAGACTCGTTTTTGTCGGCGCTGCCCGAAGAGTTTGACTTCGAAAACGGACGCTGTAGGCCTACACGTCACGTGACCAGCATGCGGCGGAGCGTTTGATAAAAAGATGGCGTGAGCGCGACGGAGCGGATAGGACAACAAGCCCCGAACTGCTGAGCGCTGCCGATCGCGAGCCGCAGCGGCCGTTCAACCACCAGGTGAGCACATCGGCGTGGGAACGCTTCGTTTTAACGCTAGCTCAACTTCTTCGCGAGGAAAATGTAAAAATTACGGTGTTGCGCTGATTGTTGAAGAATAAATTCAAAGTTCTCGATTTGAAGATAGCGGGTAGCTGGTCTGAACGCTCCTTGTTGCTAATGTTAGCTAGCAAAAGCCGCGACACAGTGGGGGAGAGTACAGTGAGTATCAAAACAATGTGAGGGGTCGATAGCATGTTTCTTTTTTTTTTTTCGTTAGCTGTGGTGCAGGAGAGTAGGAGGGGTAGCCTCATGGCAATAGTCGAAGTTGGTATTTTTTAAAACTCACTTAGTGCTGAAAAAAACTTGCTAACGTCATTTATCAGCAACTCGTTATCAACTTCAAGGAGCGCCGACGTAACAAGCTAGCTAGAGGTCTCTAATACGGTGTAGTGGAATCAAAGTATCCGCGATAGTTAGACCAGTGAGAGATAAAGTAAACCTGGAGAAAACAAACATTTCCAGGAGCGAGAATCTACAGTAGGATAAATGGACTGACATATGGACGTAAGCAAGTATCCGTGGTTACCGTTAATAACATTGAGCCATAACGGCTGTAAGCTTTCTTTCTGAATTTTGTACGTGGTTGAACTTGGCATTAGGTTAGCCTCTGTCAGTTTGAGAGCATTTCACCTTTCTGACTTGTCACTGAAATACTGAATATGAAACTGGTTTTCAGTTTCAGCAGCTTAGCTTTCGGTTAGTGAGCAAGCTAGCGTAGCTTAGCTGTGTCACCCTGATCTAAGCAGGCCAGTTTAGCTTGTACAACATTCTGAAAAACCACGCAGTGGCTGTTGCAGACTGGTGTTTATCTTATATATATGTATTCTTTGAGCTTACATAATATTTTAGCATATACGATATTATTGTATGCATAAATAGTAAGGCTATGAACCACCCGAGCTAACGAGGAAGGAGAACCTCTGATGATCCAGAGAGAGCAGGAAGTTACAAGAGGGCATTGCAAACACGTGTCTTGTTTTGGGTCACTTTGGAACAAGTCTTTGTATCACACGGGTGTGTAGAAGTTGCTATAGTACTCGGCTAGCTTTAATTCTCGTGTTGTTAATCCTACTAACGACTGAATTAAAGTATATCGAGTCAGCGTTTACAAGAATTGTTCATCATTAATTTGCTTGTTTCGATCTTGCAAGAGTTGAGGAGAGTTTAAACATCCAAACAGCTTATATTTGATTGAAACAGCATTTGCGGATTTAAGTTTAGCATCAAAAGTTTGTTGTTTCATGCTGAGTGTGAAATATAATTTATTTTTCATCGGGAAGCGTAGCTTTGGATTTTGTTTTACACTGATTGTTTTGTACCCCACGTGTGCTTTACATGTGGGTTTTGATATTTGTGGTTTACATTACTCTTTTGGGTTTCCTTTGTAAGCTGTCCCCATTGTATGTCTCTATGTCTGGTGACTGTAAATGACATGTAAGAAAGAGCATTGATTATTACTGGTTTGCTTTTGATGGCAACGTTTGATTGTATTTGTTTAAGCAGAGCTCAGTTTTTCTAATGCATCTGAATCTGAACTAGAGACTAAAATGAGCTTTAAATGGGTAAAAGATGTAACCTTATGAGGCTACACATGTTGCTTGACGTGGAAAGTTTTCATTTGGCTGAAAATAGCATTCATTTTTAAATTCGCAGTTGAGTTTCATGGTTGCACAGAGTGAATAGTTTCTTTTTCATCCCAGGGAAGGGTGTCTCGCTGTGTTGGAGAATTTTTAGGGCTGCGGATGAAGAGAAGTTATACTAACAATTAGTCTTTGTTTGTATTGGCTGATTACACACTGTAAAAAATGCAGATGACACGTACCTAACATATGACAAAAAGGTCTTCGGATTATTTGTTTTTAGAGGGATTCGTATTAGGCTAGGAATGTTCACATTTGAGAGGCCGGAAACATTTTTTTGTTGATTTCCCCTTTGGTTCATTATAACACAATTAACAAAATGGCTGCTGATTTTCTATCCACTCCGTGTTAACTTCTGAGTGTGATTTTCATCATACCATCATTATTGGACCTGTAGGTTAATCAACACTCTAAATGGAAGATGTTTCCATAAGGTTATATTAACGTTTGTCTTGCAGATGGATCCCGGACAGGATTTACTTCTCGCCGCTCTCAGTGAGAGTGGAATTTGCCCAAATGATATTGGCTTATTTGATGTTGATTCTCAGGATGTTGCACAGCCCTCTACAACCCAGCAAGTAAGATGATCCTTAGTTTTTGTTCTTATGGCGAAATTACCGTTTAGACATCTGTATATATGTTAATGTTATCATTTGCTTTCCTACAGTCTATCTCCATCAGTGCCCTGGATGTTGGTGTTGGTGTGGGGACAGAGTCAGTAGAAGTTGTTCGACCTGAACATCCTGCTGCAGTCCCCATTGTTACCATCAGGGTGAGATTACAGAACAATATGTTCCTCTTGTTTTAGTTAACACTGGTATTTTGCAGCTTATGTTTTGCGTTGTGAATTCAAATCTACTATCTTTATTTTTTACCAGCACAAACCTCAGCCATCAACCACCACGTTTGTCTTAAATCAGCTGAATCAGTTGCCTCCACTGGGAGCTGTTGTGACCAAACAGTCTGCTATTAACCCTGTCAAGCATACCATAACTGTCACCAAGGTGGTTCATGTGGCGAATTCAACCCTGCGAAGTTCACTAGCTCCCTCTTCCACAAGTATTCCCCCTTCAGCATCCACAGTAGTGCCTTCTAACAGAGATCAGGTGAGTTTATGCAGCTCATATTTTCAGTGGGTAAGTAGTTTAGTCAGTGGAAAAGCATTTTACTTGGTTATGCTAATCATTCTAATCTCAGCAGATTCAGTTGAAAGACCTCCTTCGGCCCAGCAGTGTGAAGAGCACTGGTCTAAAGGGCAACAGTCTGATAGAGCTCATGAAGCTCAAGCCTCCACCTGATATTGCTCCACCAGTAGCAACAGCCACAGGCCCAGGTGAGTTATCATGTGTTCTTGTAAATATGTATTGTAAACATTTCGACTAATACTTAACACAGCAGGCCGCATAAATCATTTCAGGTTCTTCAAATCATGTCAACTCCATGCCACAGCTGTGACGTTTTAATCATTCTGTTGATAAGAATCATTAAGCTCACCTCAATCCCAGAGAGCTAATATGATCTTTAAAGTTGTAGTTGGTTGAAGCGGTTGTAACTGGTTTAAATCCTGGCTGAGCTCATCCAGAGCTGAACATTTTCTGTTTGCATCTCATGAGACAGAGATGTTTACCTGGAAAATAAAATGAAAAGTAGAAATAATAGCATAAACTAACAATATGCTGTTTATTTGTTGTCCTAACTATTATAGTTTAGCAGAGACATCTTTCTGATTTATAAGCATTGCCTCAAAAATGACAAGTCATCCATGTGGCATTGACCATACCAGTAACAGTTTAATGGCGTGTTGGTGTTTTAGGTGACTTGAACAATGGAATCAAGAGAGAAGTTTTGGGTAAAGATGCTGCCAGGATCTGGATTCATGATGACATTAAACTACAAACCTTTCCACATTCTCTGGTAAGTGTTATAATATTAAAGGTGGACAGTCATGGTAATTTTCATGTTTTTAATTTTTCTTTATAGAGTAGATATAAGTGATTCTAAATAGTTCTTTTTGGCGTACAATTTAAAAGCAGAACATTGCTTACACATGACTCTATACAGAAACCTCCAGTGGTGAAGGAAGAGGATGAGCCTGAGGAGGAAGAGGAGGATGAGTTGGGTCATGCTGAGACTTATGCAGAGTACATGCCACAGAAATGTAAGTACTACTGTTTTAAATCAAAGAATCAAAGAGTTTCATCAATAATGAGACATTTTGTCACTAAGCAAGGAGCTCAAGACAGCAGTGTCAGCATCACCCTTAATCAATACTGCTCCATCAAATCAAACAAGAAGCAGTTGCCTGCTGCTGCTGCTGCTGCTTCCTTCTTCCTCTGACCACTTGGTTTTGTCACTGCAGTAAAGGTTGGCCTGAGGCACCCAGATCCTGTTGTAGAGACCAGTTCTCTGTCCAGTGTGAGCCCTCCAGATGTGTGGTACAGACTGACCATCCCAGAGGAAGTCATTGACAGGGGCTGCCTCTCTGCGTTGCAGCTGGAAGCTATTACATATGCAGCTCAGGTAATCACTGGAAACTGACTGACTATACAGTAACTTTCTTTCTTTTATTCATAAAAAAAATAAGACTAAAAAATGCATCTATGGTTGGTTGTTCCACTTTAACTCTTCTGTTGTTGTTTCACCAAAACTTGCTATTTGAAAATGGTGTATAATATTTAATGTGATGATCTTCTGTTCTGCTGCGATTGTTGTTTAGGTATTTTTATTTTTGTGGAGTTCTTTGCTATTCCCTATCTTGAAAAATAAAATTTCTTATCTCACTGTACCACAGCAACATGAGACATTCCTCCCAAATGGTGATCGAGCTGCTTATTTGATTGGCGATGGAGCTGGTGTGGGGAAAGGCAGGACGATTGCAGGGATCATCTATGAGAATTACCTCCTGGGCAGGAAGAGGTCACTATGGTAAGTTCTAATATTTGCCACAGTCGTTGACAGATGATTGACTGTAAAATAAAACCTAAACATGTCCTCTGTATAATATTTTGTGTATTATTGTCTTCTCTTAAGGTTTAGTGTCTCAAATGATTTGAAGTATGACGCTGAAAGGGATTTAAGAGACATTGGAGCCAAGAACATCCAGGTTCATTCCCTGAACAAGGTAAAACACTTTCATGATGTACACAATAATGTCAAGTGTTTACTCACTCGTATGACATTACACTTTTCTGTTTTTCAGTTCAAATATGGCAAAATCTCTTCAAAGCACAATGGAAGTGTGAAGAAAGGTGTCATCTTTGCCACCTACTCCTCTTTGATAGGAGAGAGCCAGTCAGGAGGGAAATATAAGACCAGATTTGAGCAGCTTCTCCACTGGTGTGGCGAAGACTTTGATGGAGTCGTATCCTTTCGGAAGTGTTTCCTTTTTTTTCTTTTCTTTTTTTAAATGCATACAAAAGGTTGATTAGACCATTTTTGTTTTCATGTACACATGAGTATGATTAGTTATATGTAAAATGATATAAATAAGATAAATATAAGGGGTTTCCTTAACAAAATGTCCTTTAGATTGTCTATGATGAGTGTCATAAAGCCAAAAACGTTTGTCCAATTGGCTCCTCCAAGCCTACAAAAACTGGGCTTGCAGTGTTGGAGCTGCAGAACAAACTCCCAAAGGCTCGGGTTGTGTATGCAAGTGCTACAGGTTTGTTAACAACACAAACATAATTTGATCCATGAATAAATTGGCAGTCTTAAATCCTATTATTATGCATCTTTGCAAACATTAAATATTGTAACAAACAAAATCCTATGTAGGTGCCTCTGAACCACGAAACATGGCCTACATGAACCGGTTGGGCATATGGGGACACAAAACACCCTTCAGAGAATTTGGGGACTTTATCCAAGCTGTTGAGCGCAGGTAAGCCTTTAGTTGCAGAAGAAGCCATAGACTTGAAAGACAAAGTTCCCAAAAGTCATTAAGAAGTCTGATATTGGAATCAAGGTCATGAGGGGTCTTTCTGAAAAATTTGCTAAATGATTAATTAGGGCTGTGCGGTATGATCAAATATATCGGATGGCGAAAGTAAAACATCTATTGTTTCATATTAGACGCTATCGTTTGTTTCGTGGTGTCGCAAAATACATTGTTTACTGCAGTATTTTTTTATTTATTATTTTTTTCTTCATTGTTTGGATGATCACCACGTGGATGCAGGCACAAAGAATACCAACATGGCCAGAGAAGTTGAGGCAGAACCAGGTTGCTCCAAACAGAAGGACCTGTCAAAGCAAATCAAGGGCCTTATTCCTAAATGAGGGGCTTATGAAAAGTCCGACACGGACCAGAAAACTGTACTATGCAAATTATGCCGCAAACTGGTCCCCACCACAGACAAAATGCGCTCATTTGCAAAGCATGTGTTAAAGCTATTGCTGGAAAAAGGTAGCAGCACCACAAATTTATTCCACCAGCTTAAAAGTCATTCACTGGAAAACGAAGACTGTTTTCAACTTGGCATGTCATCGTCTCCACGCACACCAAAAAAAAAAAGTTAAATAAATCGGTTGTGATACTTGTGACTGTTCTTGGTCAGTTGTTTTTATAGTCACTGTCTACACTGGTCGTCAAATTTTTTTATTTTCCAATTTTTATGTGTTATAAGCACAAAGGAGGACGTTTTTAATTCCCGCTGTTTTATTTTGTGTCCTGAATTCTATGGCACTATATGGTTGAAAATAACATTTATATATCATGTATTGTGATATAGCCAAAAAATGTCGCCATATTAGATTCTCCTCATATCGCCCAGCCCTGTGATTAATTTTGTATGTGTGTGTGGGTTTTTTTTTTTCCCACTAAGTGCTTGCTTTGATACAAGGAGGAAAAAAAATTAAGGATGAAATTACATGAGCTAACATTCGAAAAAGGGTGCTAGCTAATAGCTTTTCTACTTTTTCCACTGGCTGCTTCATACTTCATAGAAGCCTCTTGTAGGTCATAACATGCACGTCATTTTTGCATATATTTTCCTCTCAATTCCAGAGGTGTTGGTGCCATGGAGATTGTAGCTATGGACATGAAGCTGAGAGGGATGTACATTGCAAGACAGCTGAGTTTTACAGGTGTGACTTTCAAGATCGACGAGGTTCCCCTGACTCAGCAGTATATCAACATGTACAACAAATCTGTTAGACTGGTGAGCATCTACCTCTTCATCACTTTAATTCTTCCGTTTGTGCTTGCACTATTTTATTTCAACTTTGTCTCCTGCTTCTTCCAGTGGGTGAGTGCACGGGAAAGGTTCCAGCAGGCTGCAAACCTCATGGATGCAGAGCAACGCATGAAGAAGTCCATGTGGGGCCAGTTTTGGTCTGCCCACCAAAGGTTCTTTAAGTATCTCTGCATTGCCTCCAAAGTCCACCGAGTGGTTCAGCTGGCCAGAGAAGAGGTTCAGAATGGAAAGGTAAAACTGTTTTTGTAGTGTGATTAACAGTCATGTTGTTGCCCTCACTAACTGGTTAAACAAATTGATATGTCAATATATTTGATATGTAGGGTGTGTCAGCTGAAGCAAGTTTCTGCAGGGGCGTGGACTTTAACCTGCAAGGAAATACGGCTGCATGTGATAGCTAAAGTTAGGCACACTTGGCAAATTAATCAGACGTGTGTGTGTGTGTGTGTGTGTGTGTGCGTGCGTGTGTGCGCATGTTTGCATGCGTTGCTGTGTATGCCACAAAGTGCTACACATAGTGGAATTTAAAACTCCCACACAATCTGAATTTGGGTAGTTGTGTTTGTGTGGCTGTTGAGATCCGTTGAAACAAATACTCAGTGACTTGAAGCAGTAACTGTCAATTGTAGGTTTACTCCACAATAAAAGCACAACTGTGCATCCTGTGATTGTCATTGACGATATGAAAGACACCTGAATGAATAGATGATTGAGCCAGCTCCTGCTCTTAAAGGACCAATCAGTAGCCAAATGGGAGAACATGACCGAATCTCCAATTCAGTTGTTAAGTGATGAAGCGATGAACCATACCAGTTGACAGGGAAAACTTTTTATCCTCAAAAAAAATCAGCTTCAGGCCCTTGACATAGCAAAATGTAACACTTATAACTAGCTAAAGGCGTTTTGTTAACACTCTTAGTTATTACAAGGTAATTGCAAACAGAACTCACAAATTTGTTTGGTCCTATTGGATCTTATCGAGCTGCTTACTATTCTGTTTTGTTTTAGCCGTACCAAAGGAATTTCCCATCTTTGGGATAAATAAAGTATTATCTTATTCTTAAGCATACATTGTTTTGCTACACACGTAGACATACTGAGGATGTTTTTATCATGTGTTTAGTTTTTTTTACTTTCACAGCTTATAAAATGTAGCTGTGGATTATTTCCCTTGTTGTTAGTGAATCCCACCAGACTGCAACTTTTTAAGTGTTTTCAGTTTTTGCCAGTGGATGAAATTGAATTGTTTTCCCCTCTGCTGTGGGGGACTAAAATGCCCTATATCTTTATGGCAGCTAAACAGAGAAGTGAATAGAGTTGGGTGTAATTGGAATTGGGAATAACATTAGGGACCAAAGCCCTGGCCACAAACTTTAATGGTGATTTGAAATATAAAGTTGTGCAATTGTGATCATTTGTCTCCTAAATAAGAGAAAAAATAAGCTAACCAGTTTTTACCTTTACAGTGTGTGGTGATTGGCCTTCAGTCCACTGGTGAAGCAAGAACACTGGAGGCCTTGGAGGAAGGAGGGGGAGAACTCAATGACTTTGTTTCAACTGCAAAGTACGGACTGACTTAAAATGACAGTTTTGTGACAGTGTGAACATAGTTGTGTCTTTATCATGACAATAATGCGATAAAATGTTTCTGTTGTAGAGGTGTGCTACAGTCCTTGATTGAAAAGCACTTCCCAGCTCCAGACAGACAGAAGCTTTACAGCCTGCTGGGTATCGACCTCTCAGCAAAGAAGACCCCCTCTCCCAGTGACACAGCAGTAGAACAAGAACAGAAGGGCAAGAAGAGGAAAGGTTAAAAAAAAATCATAAAAACATTAATGATGCCTAAAACTCAGCTCAGCAAAAAGATGGCTCGTGTAAATCAAGTTGTGCTTTTGCATCATTCTTATTTCATTCTGCTTCTCCAGGTTCAGAGGTTAAAAAGCAGCAGAAAAAGCGTCCCCGGAAGCATGGGGGTCTGTCGGGTACGAGTTCAGATGAGAGCCAGTCAGAGGAGTCGGACAGAGACTGTGACAGTGATGACAGCTTCAAATCAGTCAGCTCAGCAGACGAAGATGATGATTTCAACCCATTCAGAGAAGAGTCTGACGATGACGATGGTGAGGATACTGGGGGAGCCTGGATGTAAATTAAAGCATTTCAAAGTGAATTTGAGCAAATCAGTGGTTTGTTTTTTTTTTTGGTTTTTTTTCCTTCTTCTAGATCCATGGCTTAACAGGAAGGAACCAAAGAAAGGGAAGGAGAAGAAGAAGAAAAAGAGGAGAAAGAGTATTGATCCAGACTCGATTCAAAGTGCCTTGTTGGCCTCGGGGCTGTGCTCCACTAGGCCTACTTTCACTGCCTCAGTTAATCCCCCCAGCACGCCTGCCACAGGTAAGCATGTTCCAGCATGGCAAGATAAACTTGTATTACCCTGACTGAGCTTTTTGGAGGTTAATGAATACTGTGTCTTTCCTTGTTCATCAGTCAAATCAGAAAGTCAGGAAAGCTGCCTAACAAGTCAGGACTCAGTGGAACTTGCCCAGAAAATGAAGAAAGAACTGCTTGAAAAACTGGAGGATCTGGCAGAGGATCTGCCTCCCAACACTCTGGATGAGCTCATAGATGATTTGGGAGGACCTGAAAATGTAGCTGAGGTAAAAAATAATTGTTGTATGTAGGCTGGACTTCCAGTTCCCCTGTTCACCCACCCCACCAGTTTTTAAGTTGGATTGTCCTGTATGAATTTTAACTTTGCGGATTCTTTAATTGTGCTTCAGATGACTGGCCGTAAAGGTCGCGTGGTCAGCAACGATGACGGGACCATCACTTATGAATCTCGCTCTGAGCTGGACGTCCCTGTGGAAATACTCAATCTCACTGAGAAGCAGAGGTTCATGGA